AAAAAAAAGAATTCCAGAAATGTGATTTAAAAACACTGTATTGTAAAAATTAATTGAGCAATTTAAATAAAATTGCCTCAAAAGTTTTACCAGACAAGATAGGTTCCAGGTCCTTCCTAATGAGAACTTTTAGAGGCAATATAAATAGTCTAGCTATGATAGGAACATCCATTCTGATTGGAAACAGACTGCCTGAATTCAAATCCTGGCTCCTCCACTTATGACCTGGGTTACATTGGGCAAGTTTAACTCTCTGTATTTCAGTTTTTCCACCTATAAAATGTGGATCATAATAATGTCCCCTGCATAGGCTTGTTGTGACTATCTGACAAATTAATATGCTTTAAACACTTACAGAAATGATATAAATAATTTCATGCCAATAAGTTAGATAATTTAGATGAAATGGACAAATTCCTAGGAAGATGCAAACTACCAAATCCTATTAAGGAAGAAATTGAAAAATCTGAATAGACCTGTAATAAGTAAAAACACTGAATTAATAATCAAAAACCTATCCTCAAAGAAAACTCCAGGCATAGATGGCTTCAATGGTGAATTCTATAAAATATTTAAAGAATTAATACCAGTTCTTCATGAAGATACCCTAAACCACAAAGACATCACAAGAAAACTAAAGATCAATACCTCTTATGACTAGAGGTGTAGAAATCCACAACAAAATACTAACAAGTCAAACCCAGCAATGTATAAAGGGTTAAGAAACCTTAAACCAGTAGGACTTAACCCAGGAATACAAGCTTAGTTTAACATCCAAAATTCAATTCATGTACTATAATACACCAATGGAATAAAAAAAAATTGATCATTATCATTACATTAAGAAAAATCATGACAAAATCCCAGCCTTTCATAATAAAAAGCACCCAACAAACTAGGAATAGGAAGGAAATTCCATAAACTAATAAAGGCATATACAAAAAAAATACAAAAGATAACATCATGGTTAATGGTGATACAATATCCCCCCCAATGATGAGGAAAAAGATAAGGAGGCCCAACTCTGACACTCTTTTATTCAGCACTGTACCAAAGGTTCTAACTAGGGCAATAAGGCAAGAAAGCTGGGAGCAGTGGCACACACCTGTAATCTCAGTGACTTTGGTGGTCAGACAGGAGGATCACAAGTTCAAGGCCAGCCTTAACATTTTAATGAGACTCTAAGCAACTTAAAGAGACCCTATCACAAAATATAAATAAATAAATAAAGAGTTAGGGATGTTCTTCATTGGTAAAGTACCCCTGGTTTAAATTCCCAGTACCATTTTTTTTATACCCAGGATTGAACCCAGAGGCACTTAACCATTGAACCACATTCCCAGCCCTTTTTATTTTTTATTTAGATACAGGATCTCACTAAGTTGCTTAGGGCCTCACCAAGTTGCTGAGGCTGGCTTTGAACTTGCAATCTTCCTGCCTCAGTCTTCTGAACCATTGGGATTATAGGTGTGCACCACCATAGCTGGCTCCAAAATTTTTTTTATTTTATTTTTTTATTTTTTTTTAATTGGTTGTTCACAACATTACAAAGCTCTTGACATATCATATTTCATACATTAGATTGAAGTGGGTTATGAACTCCCAATTTTACCCCAAATGCAGATTGCACAATCACGTCGGTTACACATCCACAATTTTACATAATGCCCTATTAGTAACTGTTGTATTCTGCTACCTTTCCTATCCTCTACTATCCTCCCTTCCCTCACATCTTCTCTCTCTACCCCATCTACTGTAATTCATTTCTCTCCTTGTTTATTTTCCCATTCCCCTCACAACCTCTTATATGTAATTTTATATAGCAATGAGGGTCTCCCTTCATTTCCATGCAATTTCCCTTTTCTCTCCCTTTCCCTCCCATCTCATGTCTCTGTTTAATGTTAATCTTTTATATACTGTTAAAAGGAACCATTCACCAACAAGACAAATTTTTTTTTTAATAAATGAGGCAACAAAATTCTACACAAAGACATCCTTATTGGAAATGAATAAGTAAAATTGTGTCAGCAAATGACAATGATTTTATATGGAGAAAAGCCTAAGGAACACACACACAAACAAAAAAAAACACTATTAGAATAAATAATTTAATCAATAATCTGTGCTTCACCATACTTGTAATGATCTGTCTGAAAATGAAATTAAAGGAAAAATCCAATTATGGTAATATCAATAATAATAAAATGCTAGAAACAAATTTAATAAAACACATGTAAAACTTACACTCTGAAAACTATTTAAAATGTTGGAATAAAGATCTAGATAAATAGAAAGACATTATATGTTCATGGATTAGAAGACTTGGAATTGTTAAGATGGCAGTATTTGCCAAGTTGATTTACAGATATAAGGCAATTTCTACAAGAATCCTAGCTGACTTATTTGTAGAATTTGACAGGCTGAACCTAAAATTTATGTGGAATTGCTAGGCACTCAGAATGGTGAAAACAATCTTTAAAAAGAAAAAAGGTTTGGAGGATGTGTTAGTCAGTTTTTCGTCATTGTGACCAAAATACCTGACAAGAACAACTTGGAGAAGGAAAAGTTTTATTTTGGATTCACAGCTTCAGAAGTTCAGTCGATGTTAGCTGACTCTATCACTCTGGGTATGAGGTGAGGCAGAACATCATGAAAGAAGGGCATTGTAGATGAAAGCTGCTCAGCTTATGGCAGCCTGGGAGGAGAGAGAGAGAGGAAGGGGATAAAGACATATATAGTCCAAATCTGCACCCCTAGCCTAGTTCCTCCAGCCACACCCCACCTGCCTATAGTTACCATTCAATAGCCCATTCAGCTATCAATGGATTAATCTAGTGATAAGATCAGAGCCCTAATCATATCCTAATAGCTCCATCTCTGAAACTTGTTGCACTGAGAATTATGCTTTCAACACACAAGCTTCTGGGGGTACATTTCAGATCCAAGCCATAGCACAGGATTCACAATTCCCAATTTCAAAATGTACTACAAAGGTACAATTATCCAGACAGTGTGGTACTGGCATAATGATAGGTAATGACAGACATATAGGTCAATGGAATAAAACTGAGAGTCCAGATATAAACCCTTATATTTATATTGAATTGTTTTGACAAGTATGCCAATACAAGAGGAAAAAGATTAGTCTTCTCAAGACTGGGTAAAGTAAATATCTCCATGCAAAATAATGAAGTTAGACCTCTAACCAACAACAAAGGTTAACTAAAAATAAATCAAATATCCAATTAAGAGCCAGCATCAGGTCAAATATGCATGTAAACCCAACCTCAGAATTACATTTCAGCAGGAAACCAAGTAGGTATAAATGCTAATTTTCTGGTTTGATTTCTTTCTGCTGGGCAATTAGCAAAGAGTTCTATGCACACAGCAGGTTAATTTTCTGGAGTTCCTAACCTTTTCTTTTTTGTTTTTTGTAGAGTACTAGGGATTGAACTCAGAGGTGTACTTTATCATTGAGCCATATCCCCAAGCCCTTTTTATATTTTATTTTGAGGCAGGGTCTTGCTAAGTTGCTTAGGGCCTCACTAAGTGCTAAGACTGACCTTGAACTTGAGATTCTACTGTCTCAGCCTCTTAAGTCTCTAGATTACAGCTGTGCACCACCACACTCAGCTTTCAACCTTTATATCCTACTCACTGGAACCTATGCATAGCCCTGCATAGTCATTTACCTAATCTATTCAAATGCAGATTGGAATAAGAAATTCTAAAGAAGTAATTCCCACTAGAATAAAGAGAGAATACAGAAAGGTGTCACTCTCTACTTTCTAAGTCTTTTTCTAGTAAGAGTGGCCTGGGGATATGGCTCAGTTTTGGAGTGCTTGCTTAGCATTCATAAGGCCCTGGGTTTGATCCCCAGCACCACAAAGAAAAGTTTTCTCAGAAGCAAATTATTTTTCCCATCTTAGATGGGCAATGCTCATCTCTGCTTGTTGAGCATGTAAACAGTTATCAGCTGGAGGACACATGGATTTGGCCCATGGAGATAGAATTCCTCTTAAGTGCCAAGGGGCAAAGCTTCTGATGAGATAACTGATGAACTATCCGTCACATGCCGAGAGTCCCTTGAAATGTTAAGTTGCCTCCACACTCCCATGCACAGACCAGCTCAAACAGAGACTGAATTACCAAAATAGAGAAAAGATTAACATAAGATCTTTTGGAAAATTCTCAATAACAATAATGGATCTTTCAAAAGCACACACACCATGAAAGAGGAGAGTGAAGTGGCCTGTAACTCTTCAGTATTCAGGGTAAATGTGCTTGTCACCACTGTGGCTCACTAAACATGTTCTTAGGGAAGACAAAAGGATGTCACACACTTTTCTTTACCATCAAAAACAATACCATCTGAGTCCCCTCTTACCTTTTCATCTCCTTGTGTTTAGCAGATCCGTAAACACGCCTATTCTTGCTTATTTTCCTGAAAACATCTTTTACAATCTCCTTATTGGCTTCCTTCTTGGACTGTGCAGGTTGACTTTGAGAAGCCTATAAAAAAATGGGAGGAGCAGACCAGAAATTGAAGAGAACCACGACTTACCCAATAAGTGGTTCTTATAAGAAAGTCTGGACCTACATCTCCATCCTGAACAACTGTGTGTTCCCAGGAGTGATAATCCAAATATCTTACAACCGATAACAGTGGAAGCCATCAGGAAAAAAAAATCAGTATAAAGTACTAGTTTATATTAGCTAAGTGGAACCCTAAATGCTGCTATTCCATGGAATATGAGATATAATTTTGATCACCATGCCAGGCATAGTGACTGGCAAATAACTGAAAAGAAGTTTTGTTAATATCACATTCTACTTTGACCTGAAAAGATGTTCAAAGGAGAAAAATGGAATATGTCTGGCTTTTCTGTCTGGATATGCCAAGACCAACGAATTTGGGGGGATAAACCTCTAACATAATACTACCTGTGATAAAACTATCCTGTCTCATTTAGCGACATTTATTTAACATGAGATTCTCAGGAGTTTGATCAGACTCTAATCCTGACAAACTCTATTAAACAATATGAAAAATTATGGAATAACGAATAATGTTAGGAAAAATAAACTTTAAAATGACAGTTTTGAAATGAAACAAATGAACTTAATTTGAATAAATACTATAATCACATTAAAGGAAAAAGGAAGAGAAAACCAAAGACAAGAAAAAACCAATTCAACTATATACCCTCAAAGTATATATTCTCAGTCAGGATGGTTTGTGGAGAAATGTTGAGAGCCACAGCTGAAGGGGGCCCAGCAAACTTCCAGCTGCCAACAAACTTCCAGCTGCCAGCTGATGATTGACTCACAGCGGCCCCAGCAAACTTCTAGCTGCCAACTGATTGGCTCCTCTGCGGTGATGCTCATTGGGCTGTTTCCCCGCACTTTCAGACCAAGGAGATGCTCATTGGGGAACTTTTTTTGGAAAAATTGTATCACCGATGACACCATCAGCAAAAATACCCCAACACTACCACAAGTCGCTGCACCAACAGATAGTTCACAATGCATACAAGTGAGTTCACAATGCATACAAGTGATACATAGTCCAGGCAAGTTTTGCAAGCAGTTCAGTGATGGCTATTGCAGAAGCTGTAGATTGGTTTTATCTTTGTCTTCACCAGCACTGGGATAAAGATAGGAATTCTGGCAATAATGGCTAAAGAAAAAAGTTATGTAACATTCCAGAAGGCACTAAAAGAAAACAATTTTCTGAACAATTTACATTATCTTGAACAGAATTATTAAATATAATGAAAAGGAAAGGTGAAAGTAAACAAACAGGTCTGTTAACCTCCTTTTTTGTTCACATATTAAAACAATCCTCAACAGCTGTTTACCCAATTTAAATTAAACCATTTAAATCACGTGAATAAAAAAAATATTTGGATCCATTTTTTCATGAGCACTCATCATATA